AGTCGTGTTGATGAGTAGGTCCTAAATTTTAAAAAGTGTCTAATAGGTCTTTAAAATTTTAATTTTATGTCTAATAGGTATATGAAATTTAAAAGTATCTTAGAGGTCCTTCAACTTTYAATGTCGTGTCTAATAGATCTGTATCATATTCTATAATTTGTATCTAACGGATTTGTAAATATATAAAAATGTTGAAGATGACAGGGACTTGTTAGACACAAATTGAAAGTTTAGAGACTTATTAGACATTTTTAAATTTTCGAGATCTCTAGACACAAAACTGAAAATTCAATGACCTATTAGATACAATATCTGAACTTTAAGAGTATCAATAGGTCCAATTTTCAATTTGGTGTCTCTAATATGTCCTTATGACTAGGGATGTTCATTTTCCCACAAGGTCCCATCCCCGCAGGGACCCACCTAAATGGGACGGGAAATCCCCGTTTAAATTTCCCACGAGGCAGGGATGGGAAATGTTTTTTCCCCGTCACCTAAATGGGGATGGTCCCCATTCCCCGTTTGCATTTTTTTAATATATATATACACTAAAAAATCTTATTATTCTTTCTATACTTACATATACTAATAAAACCATATTTTTATTAGGCACCAAATATATAGATCATGTAAATAAAGTTTTTATTGTTGAAAATTAATTAATTAATTAGAAATTTCCTTAGAAAAATGTTTAATTGAAAAATAATTTGAAAGTAAAAGAATAAATGGGGAAAAAATCCCCACAGAGAACCCGATSCTCGTGAATTCCCAATAGAAAATCTCCACCCAATCCCTGTGAAATTTCATGGAGAATTTCGCGAGAATGGGGAATTAAATGGAGGGCAAGGATGGGGACAGGAAAGCTTTCCTCATCCCTGCCCCACCCATGAACATCCCTCCTTTTATTTTCCAAAAAAAAAAAGAGGTCTAGTAATAATTTAAAAGTATCCTAATAGGTCCAACTTTCAATTTTGTGTATAATATACTTGATATATTTTGTGTTTAATGGATCCACGGATTTAAACAAATGTTAAATATGACATAGACCTATTAGACACAAAATTCAAAGCTGAAGAAGTTATTAGATATTTTTAAAATTAAAAAATCAACTAAAATTAAAAATTCATGGATTGAGTTATTTTCTAAAAAACTATTTCAATTAAATAATTAAAAAGATCTAGGGCTCGTTTGATATTGGTTTTTGGTTTTTGGCCATATATGTTTATAACCATTTTTTGGTTTTTGTTTTTAAAAACCAGAAAACAAAACATGTTTGGTACCCATTTTTTGTTTTATGTTTTTAAAAAAAGTTAGAAAATTGAAAATACTAGAGAAAGAAAATTCTATATAGAGTAGATATGACAATGGTGTGGGTTCGAATGAGRATGTTCTCCCCCATTCTCGTGCTAGTGAAAATTTTTAGTCCCTGTTTACACCTCGTTCTTCGGTCCGAGAGATTTTCTCGAGAAAATTATCGGTTTTATAATTGTCTTTAATTATTTTTAAAATTGAAGTATAAAAAAAGTGTAATAAATATATATTAATTATTTAAAAAATAGAATCGGGACGGGGACGGATCGGGACATGCATTTCCTATTTTTGGGCTCAACCTCCAGAAATTTTTATCATCCCTAGAGACATGAAAATACAAGTTTGGAGATATGTAAATAAACTTTTGGAAGATAAATTTTAGAGAGATAAATAGAAAAATTTAGAAAAAAAAAATAGTGAAAGAAAAGTTAAAAGACAAAAACAGAAAAATCTTAGAGAAAAAAAAGTAAAGTCGAAAAGAAAATATATATTAAAGAAAAAAAATTATAAAGAAAGAGAAAAATTATAGTGGAAACAAATTTACAGATAAAAACAAGATTCAAAATATAATTTTTTAGAGAAAATAAATAAATAGAGAGATAAATAAAAGTTACAGTAAAAGAAAATTGAACGATAAAATAAAATATAATTTTCAAAGGAAAGAATAGATTAGGAATTAAAAGAAAAGTTATAAAAGACGAAATTTTAGACAGAAGAAAATTATGAAAAATATTAATTTTCAAGAGATAGAAATGAAACTTATCTATTAGAAAAAAAATTTTAAAAAAAATACAGAAAATTTTAGAGAGACAAATAATAATAAATATTCAAAATATAAAAATTTTAAAGAGAAAAAAATAAATTTTGAAGAGATAAATTTAGAAAAATAATGTTAGAATAAGAAATAAATTTTTTAGAGATAAACACGAAAAAAAAATTAAAAGTATTAGGAAAAAAAAAAAGAACAACAGAAATCAATTTTTGAAAATTACTTTTTCTTTTCTTATCTTTTTTTGAAATTTACATCCAAACAACTAGAAGTAAAAAATAAAAAACGAAATAGTATCATTCAAATTTTTTGAAAAATAGAATGAGCTAATCATCTGACTAAGTTACATATCCTAATAAAAAGACGGTGAGTTTGAATTCGAATACTCGTCCATTGCTAAAAAAACCGACGTGGCATAAAACTTAAAAAGTAAGAAAATTGGGGGTGCGGTTTGCAAAGAAAGGAAAATTGAGGGTGCGGTTTACAAAAAAGGGAAAATTGAGGGTGGGGCAAAAGTGTAAAAAAAAGGCAGGCTGGTGAAAGCCGCGTGGACGGCATTGGAGGGACAGCGAGGAAGCCAGTTGAAAGAGAGCAGCAGCAGCAGCCATCTTCCGGTAAATTCCCTCAATTTGACTCCAATTTTGTGCGTCAATTCGCTAATCAATCACCATTTCCAAAATCCATAATACCGCCATTTCAATTCCTCCTTTTCCTTCTCTTCTCTCTAATCAATCGGAGATCTATCTCTCTCTGTTGTTCCCTTTTTCCGATCTCAATTTGGGTTTCTCTTTCCTTTTTTCCCAAACCCCACTTTGTCTTCCCGATCATCAGACCCGAAATCCCTTTTTTTTCTTCTGGGTTCTGGCTGCTTCTGCTTCCCCCGCGTGTAGGATTTGATTCTTTGCAGGCGCTTGTGATTCGCGGAAGTGGTGTTTGTTTGAGTGGGAAGTGAGAAACAATGGGTAGCCCTGAGAATAATGAGAGTAAGGGCTTCTTTGCTGCCGTGACTTCTGGAATTTCCAAGCTTAGCACCGCCATGCACCGATCTGTCAATGGGTACTTCCGGCAAATTTTGTTTTTCTTCTTTTCTCCCTTGTTTCTGGATTGTTGTCCCATTTTTTAGTTGTTTGAAGCTGTAATCCTGTTGTTTGCTCTTTTTTGGTTTCATTATTACCGTCAATTTGAATAAGAAAGTTTTGTTTTCTGTACAATTCACGAGTCGTGATTTGTTGTTTTGAACTTGTACTTGTCGCTAGAAGTTACTCCTTTTCTTCTACTTTTTGTAGGTGTCTGGTCTCAGTAGGATCCTTAATTGAGATTTCAAATTTTCATAAATATTTGCATACTGAGTTCTAGTTTCTAAAAACAAATAGGATGTAGATACTTACATTTTGTTGTTCTCACTACTAGGAGATAGGTCTTCCAGAGATACTGAAATCAGGTGACATGTCTCATTTCAATTTGAAAGGTTGAATTCGCATCATGGTTACTTGTTATTTTGACAGTGGCTTCCAAGCTCTTGAAGTGTTTATTTATCTATTTCTGTTGCATAACATAGCCTCGTATATGTGAATTTGAGTGCTTGGGATTTCAGTCTGGTGATGAGAAGGTTGGTTTGTTTGGATGGTCTTCATTGGAATGCTTGTCAAAGCTTTCTCTTTCTCTCATTTTTGTCAACTGAACTTGAAGTTGTGCTACCATTATGGTTGATTGTACTGCTGATTAGTGTCAACTGTCATCCCTCTCAAGCCTAGTCATATTGTTAATGTTGTCTCGTGGCGGTTTTATCTATTTCTCTTACTTCACTTGATCATACTTTCCTCAAGTTATATATTTGTGGTCCATGTATTGCATTAATATAAAGTTTGTACAAATGCTAGAGAGTTTGTTTGGCTCATGCTTACATCGCCTGCCTTGTTCTCAGATTTCTTGGTTATGAAGGGGTAGAAGTTATAAATCCTGATGGAGGCAAAGAAGATGCAGAAGAGGAAGCTCAAAGAGGAAGATGGAAACAAGAGGTTTTCTCATTTATGCTTTTATCTCTGGTCTTTTCTTTCTTTGTACCTTTTTCTCTTTGTCATCATTAATGCATAGTGGTGAAGTCAACTATGTATCTTTACTATTATCGCTCTTTCTAAAGATTATTTTGGCGGGGGGACAAAATAGAGTATAAGTCGTTTTGGCCCAAGGCTGATCTTTCTTCTGAGAATTTAAGCTTGGGTTCCTGCAAATCCCCCTGCCCTGAAACCTTTTTAACTTGAATGGTAATACAGGAATGTTTCTTCTTTACTCTACTGTGTGTGGAGATCTCATTTTCTGAAGCTAGGAATTTTGTCTTCTCTTCTTCTCATCGAATTGTTCTATAAAATAGTTTACAATTTTTCTTTATTTGGGTACTAAAAGGATCGCGAAAGTTACTGGAAGATGATGCACAAGTATATTGGCTCAGATGTCACATCAATGGTCACTCTTCCTGTAATCATTTTTGAACCAATGACAATGCTTCAAAAAGTAGCCGAGGTTTGTTTGACTTTTGTTATTTCTTTTATTTTCTTGTTGAAACCTTTTCATTTGCATCATGGTGTTAATGATACATTATTCATTATAGTTAATGGAGTACTCCCACTTGTTGGATCTGGCGGATGAATGTGAGGATCCTTATATGCGGTTGGTGTATGCTTGTAAGTATCAAAATCTTAAGGCCTGTGCAGGTCTATAATCATTGAATAATGGTAGCATTTATTAATTTCTGATGATGAATTATTTTTTCTCACTTGTTGCAGCATCATGGGCTATATCAGTGTACTACGCTTATCAAAGGACCTGGAAGCCTTTTAATCCTATTCTAGGAGAGACTTATGAAATGGTTAATCATGATGGGATCACATTTCTTACTGAGCAGGTGAATTTCAAGATTCTGCTGCTCCAAAATATGTGTAGTTTCGTTCGTCTTGTTGCCTACTTTTTTTCTTGTAGGACTTATGTGTAATATAGAATCTTCTTTTACCACCACCAACACACACACACAAAAGGGCAGAATCGGTCAATCTCTTTCTTCCAAGTTCATGAGTTAGAAAGTTGCATGCAACTGTTTACATTTTAGTAATTATTCATTCTTGCTTATATGGGTTTTTTTAAGAAAATATTTTTTCCACATTTGATCTCATTTTTTAAAATAATTCTCTGCCGAATGATGTTTTCAGGTAAGCCATCATCCCCCGATGAGTGCTGGGCATGCTGAAAACGAGCATTTTAGTTATGACATGACTTCAAAGTTGAAAACTAAGTTTTTAGGGAACTCATTGGATATTTATCCTGTTGGAAGGTAAAGTTCCATTTTCTCACTCTCTTTTTATTCCCTCAGTTCTTCATTCCTTATTAAACTCACAAGGAACACCTAAATGTCAAAGGAGCAAGTTATAACTTATGAACTTTAGGGTTAGACGTCGTTCATAAAATTATTTGGAGCGCACACACCCAAAGTTAGATATCAGAAACTTACATGGGCAATCACTGTCAGGCCAATATTACTTGGAAATTTTGATGTTTCTTTTCAATTGACCCTATGTGTGCATTGTTGCATGGCATATGCTCTTATAGCCTACTTGCTGCCAGTGATAGCTTTGTTTCTTTTACTATGGCCTTGATGTTCGATACTGGTAGACTAAATTTAAGTGATTATATGATTTTGGCCTTTGCAGAACACGGGTGACTCTCAAAAGAGATGGTGTAGTATTAGATTTGGTGCCACCGCTCACTAAAGTTAATAACTTGATATTTGGGAGGACATGGGTTGATTCACCCGGGGAGATGATAATGACCAATTTAACAACTGGTGATAAAGCTGTACTATATTTTCAACCATGTGGATGGTTTGGGTAAGAATATTTTTCCCATCAGTCTCTTGACATTACAAATTCTGTCTAGTTACTAATGCTGATCTTATAGGCACTTGGCGTTATAATGAATTTTTGTGTTGGTTTCTGTGAGATTTGACTGCTGTTATTGTATTCTTAGTGCATATATTTAGTGGGTTTCCTTATCCATTTTTCTGTCGATATACATAATTTAGGGATATTTCATAAAATTGACCAATTTAAAATAGGTTAATGACTTTTGACCTAATCCTTAAAAAAGAGAGAATTGGGACCTGTTTATTTCATCTACCAGTTAAATGACTTTAAAAGTTGAAACATAACAAACCTCTTTCCGTCCTTTCCCTCGGTCTCAAAATTCTATCTCCATCTATCCCTCTCGTCAAACATCTTAAAGTGCATGACTTCATACTTTTAAAATAATAAATAATGTGTTATATTTACCTTTCTAGTATGATAGATCAAGAATTTCTTCAAAACAAGACCTTCAACGCGTAAGATGTTTGTGATAGAGTTAGAGAGACATCTTGCGAACTTGTATTTACTAAATGGAAGGGGAAGATGTACTTGTAAATTCTAATATTCTTCTTTTGTTGAGGGTGTGTTTTCAAGTCTATAACCCCTTTAATATTAGGTCAGTTTTTGTCAATTACCCATAACTTAGTTCCTTCTGTTCTCATTATTTTGTCCAAGATCAACTTGGGATTCTTGATTTGAAGTGATCATAGCAATTTTCTTGAAATGGACTGAGAGTAATTGAACCTCATTCAGTGATTGAAGTGAAGTTCTTTTTCTCAGAAACTTTTGGTTTTTGCTGTCATTAAAATAGTAATCGATGCCACTTTCCATCTCATCTTGTTAACCATTGTTTTTTGGTTGCAGTGCTGGCCGATATGAAGTGGATGGTTATGTTTATAATGCGGCAGAGGAACCTAAAGTTTTGATGACAGGGAAATGGAATGAATCAATGAGTTACCAACCTTGTGATATGGAAGGGGAGCCTCTTCCAAACACACAACTGAAAGAGGTAACCGATATGAGTTTAGTGAGGCTCCATTTGATATATAAAATATTTTATATTTTTAAAAATTAAGCCTAGAAATAAAATACTACTTCCACCTATATGTTCCTTTGTCTTGTTAATATTGTTATCTACCTTCTAAAAACGTTTTCAAAATCTAAGTCGAAAAACTTATTTTTGTTTTTGACGAATCTAAATTCTAAACGTATTTTTAAGGAATATGAAAAATATACAAAAGAAATGGTAGAATCAAGCATAATTTTCAAAAACAAAAAATCAAAAATAAAATTTTATCAAACGGAGCCTTAGTGTTGCACAGAAAATGGTGCTGATATTTATGTTTGTTTCTGACATTCTGTTGGCCAAGTCTTAGTGATCTTGGGTTGAAATTTGACTTTTTCTCTCTGCTTTCTGCTATTATTGTTTTTGTTCTGTAGGTTTGGCATCTGGCTAAGGCACCCGAGAATGACAAATTTCAATATACACACTTTGCACATAAGATCAATAGTTTCAATACTGCCCCTAAAAAATTGTTGCCATCGGACTCTCGATTGCGTCCTGATAGATATGCTTTAGAGAAGGGTGATCTATCCAAAGCAGGGTCCGAAAAGAGCAGGTTCGCTCCTCGATCTTTCCAATGATTTCTTTAAGCCACACTCGATTCACATTCTCATTGAGGTTCTAACACTTCTTTCTGTGGCCAGTTTGGAAGAACGGCAACGTGCTGAAAAACGAACTCGAGAGGCTAAAGGACAAAGTTTTGTGCCTAGATGGTTTAATTTAACCGACGAGGTTACACCCACTCCGTGGGGCGACTTAGAGGTTTACCAATACAATGGTTTATACACCAAGCATCGGGCTGACATCGATAGTTCTAGCTCAAGCAGCAACAACGAGGTTGATGTTACATCGATCGAATTCAACCCCTGGCAATACGGCAACTCGTCGACAGATTAAGCCTCTCCTCTATGTTTTAGTTGCTTGGCTTCTTCAGATAGTTGGTAATATTTTTCAGCATTTGATATTATAGTCTGTTGTTTGTTTATATACATAGAGTTTTTTACATTTTGTAACTTTGTTATCAATCTTTGCCAGCTTCTTCTTCCTTCCAATGTTCTGTCCTTGATGATAAAATTCATAATTTATGTGGTTTGACTTTTGAGTGGTGATTACATGAGATATAAGTTGTCTTCTTTTTCTTTTTTCTTTTAAAATTATTTTGCTGGTCCAACCAAAGAATTATTGCTATAATATTGGAGGAGATTATAGCAACATGTGATGTGGATATTTGAATTTATAATATTTTTTTTGGAAATAAGTATTTTAACCAGTTGAACGATGTTCTTTAAAGATCCCAGTGTATTAAAAGTTACCATTAAAATTGGTTTTAGAATTCTAAAAGAAAATAAAAGCATGATACAAGTACTTTGCAAGTGGTTATAGAATAAGTGTTCTTTAAAATTTATCTTCTCAAAAGTAATCTTAAAGTCACTCTTAATTTGAATAATTAAGAAGACTATAGTTTGCTCCAACAATTTGAGTTTAAATTATGGGAATTATCTACTTTATATTAAATATTGTATATAACTTTTTCAACATATCTTTATAATCTTGTGGGGATAAGTGTCTGGCCTGAGTGATTAATTAGGTGTAAATTGACAAAGACATCCTTATAAAAAGAAAAGGGTTATAAAAAAAGAATTAGGAATGGATTAAATTGTTTGAATTAATTGGGCAATCAATATCATAGCAAAGAAACTGAAATTTTGTTTCGTTTTTTAAATTTAGATTTAAATATTATTTTGGTTCCTGTACTTTTAAAATATTGTTATGGTCTCTATAAACTTTGGTTAGTCTCTAACTTTCAAAACGTTTGCTTTACCCCCTGTACTTTTAAAAGGTGGTCATTTTGGTTCTTATTTGTAAAATTTTACAATGAAAATCTTTCAATACAAATTTATGATTACATTTCAAAAAATTTAACAAGTAGAGTATCATATTAATATTTTGATCGAAATAAATGAGATAAAAATAAAAATGAAGGGGCTAAAATAGTCGCTATTAAAAAATACAAAGACTAAAATGAAAGTTTTGAGAATACGGAGACTAAAATGAACAAAAGTTAAAAAGTATAAAAACCAAAATAAATACTTTGAAATTACCGAAACAAAAATATGATCTATTCTCATAGCCAATGGCTTGCATTAAAACATCTACATGGATGATGGGAATGGGAACCTAATCTTTGTCACCTCAAAAAAAAAAAAATCAAAAATCAAAATTCCTATATTCCTAATTGAAATTCCCCAACTTGAGAAAGTTGATGATTCTTTATAAATGCTTGCTATCTTTAGGAATTCAATTCATGTGCATTTTGGTTTCATTTATATTAAGTTTGGGAATTTGGAAGTGAGTTTTTTTAGAAGATAAATTTAATTACTATAGGCTCAATCTATTCTTCATACAATATGAAATGAAAATAATTTATTTTGGTTTCAGCTCGACTCTATTCTACGTGCATTTGTAGGCTTTCAACTCAATTTAATAGGAGATTTGAATTTGAAATAAAATTATTCGATATTGTTTACATATAATATAATAACTCAAATAAATTAAAGAATTGTCAACCTGTTCAACTGACCTGATTAAGACACCTATTTCAAACTTAAAATTCGTGGGTTCGAATCCTCACCCCTAAACGTTGTTGTGCTGAGAAATAATAGTGACAAATAAATAAATAAACAGAAAGTTTAAAGTAATAATTAAACTTGATAGATGAGTGATTCCAATGTATTGAATGATTACAAAGGTTGAAAAGGCAGCTCCTGAAAAGGTCTTCAATATTCAAAAAGTGGGGAACCCAACTCTCTTGGTTTCTCCATTCTGTTTGATTATATGGATTATTTTGTTTAATCTTTTGGTTTTAACTACAAAATGATTGGATCTGACGTGTTACGATGACATGTCGACATTTTCATATGTCTTTTAAGTTCGACATTATAGAAGGTAATTGGATATTTTCATAGTTTTAAAAAAAATCGATAAAATATTAAAAGAAATTTCATAATTTTACTAATAGGTACATAATACTAATACTAATAATTTTTAATTTATTAAAAAAATGTGACTTAGTTTTTTTAATCTTTTTTTTTTAATATCCATCAAAGATCAATATTTCTATTAACAATTCCACAAAATTGGATCCTATACATTTCTACGAAACTATGAAACATTTAAAACTTTGGTTCTAATATGTATTCATGTTCTAGTGAGAGGCTAATACCAATCTTTTTTCTATTTGTTCTTATTGTTTAACTATTTTTTTTACTGTCAATTTGAGCATAGTTTAACGGGTTAAGGCACATACTTCCGACTAAAAGGTCGTGAGTTTGAATCCCTACCGATGAAGGCCGAATTCCACCAGAGGACACGTCATCATCAGTTTGACGATTTAATTTTTCCCATGACTCCCACGAGGTAAGTTCGGAAATAATGAGCGTTGAACTATCGAACTTGGACAACTCTGCAACAAGGTGAATCTCGGAGATAACYGTAGGATTCACCCTACTCGAACGGTTATCTAGCTTTTCAAATAAATATCTAGAAATTACACGAAGGAGGTACGCTGACATTCTAATTGAGATTTTGCTTTCTAGAATCCTACACTGTATCATCTCTTTCTTTGGAATATAAGAAATGATATATAATATTGACCCAAATGTGATTAGCTTTTGGCTCAATTCTAGTGAATTATTATAAGCGATGTCATCAAATTTTTGGTGATGAAATCACAAGAAAATGAAAGAGTGTGGGAGGGGTGAGAGGTAGAAAGATACCATGATAAAAAAATCATGAATTCGAATTTTCCTATCCCACGTATTGTACTAAAAAAAAATGCTTCTTTTTCCTTTTGCGGAAAAAAAATGTTTAGAAAACAATAGTCACCAATCTTAAACTTCATATGCCTGAGAATGATTGAGCAACGAGAATTTAAAAATTAGAAGGAAAGAAGACACCAAGATTTTTATTTGGTTTTGAAATGATCTAATCCCGCACTGAAATATTAAATACGTTTAATAATCTCAATTTCAGAATCTTTGAATTATTTATGGATTGTAATGGTGAGTTAAAAAATTAAATTAATTTTTTTTTAAACACAACAAAACAAATTAAATACAATCAGCGGCCAACAAAACAGACAGCCACGTAGGGCAAAACTGGTTCCACGAAGACGAGAATCCCTCTTCGCACGCTCTCCTTGCTATCCCATGAGCGATTCCATTAGCCTTCCTCGACATATGCTTGAATCCTTCAATTGGCAAAGATTCCATCTTTTTCCATACGTCTTCAACAATCAAAGAAACTTTGGTGAGCTCCATGGAAGATTTATTGATAATGTTCACTACTTCCAGACAATCTGATTCCACCTCAATTTTGATTCTAGCCTCTAGGGTAAGGGATTGATTCAATGCTTTGAGACCTTCCAAGATTGCTAGGGCTTCCAAAGCTTTAATGGGTCATTTTCTTTGTAGGTGGAAACACCCTGCCATGATGAAGCGCCCTTCGGAGTCACGAACAACCCACCCGAGACCGCCGACATGCAACGAATCCATCCAAGTAGCATCAACGTTTAGTTTCCACAGGTGCTGTGTCGGGGGGTCCAACCGATGGTCCTAGGGAGATTTTTATATATATAGTTGTTTGTTTTGAAAAATAGAAAAATCTTCTCTTTTCTCGATTGCTTAAATACTAAGGGTTCGTTGAGTGTTGCACTGCATTCACAAGTTGGTAATCCGTTCTATCTGGGAGACAATTATTCCGGATACTTTGAGTATCATAGAGGGAACAAAATTATCTTAAGTAAACAATGCTACTGGTAGGTTCAGATTGTTTAGTTTCGTGTTTCCTTATTTCTCTGCGCATAGCTCTAACAATCTTGAGATGATTTTTTGCTTCTAGTTTATTTAATTATGTACCTTTTATTCTTTTAGTTAGATTGGTTTAAAATTTTTGGAATATAACTTTTTATGTTTGATATTTCAAATTTGAATGAATATCTTTATATTGATGCTTAAATATTAAATATTTGATATGAATTTTAAAATTAATGAAATAGATAAATAATAAAGAACTTAATAGATGATGACAACTTTGAGTATGAACTAAATTGTTATTTGATGTGTAATTGAAGGAAAAATATTACATCTGAAATTGAAGGACAAGATAAAATTTTAAAAGTCAACATAGGAAAGTAAAATGTGAACTAAAATTATTCAAATACTCATGGACTTTTTGTCAAATGATAGGTACAACAACATCTTTAAGAGGTAGATCGTGATGTCATAATCTCGATCACACTCATATATGAAAGAACACACCATTCTCTCAACAAACACTTCAACTCGAACGGTCGCATCTCATAAAAGTTTGAAGGACAAAATCTATTTAAAATATTAAACATGATATTTTAAGTTACATATTAAATATAAAAATTATTAAATAAAATATATTAAAAAAGGTCGAAAATCATATTTTATTGTTAGTTCCAGCTGTGTTAGAGGTATATTTACGATTTTCAAATCTTTATTTTAAAAATTCATTTTTACTCATGAAATTTTCTTTACTGATCTTTTAATTTTTCTTTTTTTTTATTCTATATTTTATTTTTTTTCTTTCATTTTTGTTTTTTCATTGAAGAAATTAATAATGACCATTTTCCTACATATAACACATACAGTTCCCATACCTTTGTTGGAAGAGTTCCCATACCTTTGTTGGAAGAACTTCCTCCTAGGAAGATCACCATATGAAACCTCTCATCACAAGATACAGAGTATTTTCGGATATGGAAGCAGTTTTGTGAAGCCCAAAAGTTGTTGCTATGCCTCTTATTAGGAAATTAAAACTAAAATATAACATGAATATATTGTATTTTGTAATCTACGCACAAAATTTTTTTAAATAATCTATAGATAATTAAAACTTGAAGATAACATTAATAAATATAATATTATACTCTACCTTTTCATCTACTAAAATAAATTTCAAAGACAAAATCTTCATTTACATTTTGAAAATGAATTTTGGGCGGAAGAAAAAAAAATACATGATTTCTGTCATTTTATAATAATTTTCAATCACATCTATATGCGAATGTTTGCATTATTTATCGAATAGTTAC